TAGACAGTTAATTCTCACACACGTTAGAAAGGGTGAGTGTTGTGGGGGGGGGGGGGTGCCAAGAAAGGTGCAGAGGAGGAGTAGGGCTTGGAGGAGGATTTGATTTAGGGCAGACAGAGCTGAGATAGGGGCTCTCTGGGAGTGAGGACATATGCATGCTTTCTCCTCTCCATGTCAAAATCTACGCAGCCCGTGGGCTCCCATAGCCCTTCTTTAGGATGCTCTCCTGGATAATCACTCCCTCCCTTGGCACTCACCTCCTCTGGGCTAGCATTTAATTCACTCTGCCTTATGTGATGGTGGATGACACGTCTGCTTTTTACACACAAGATGCTCTGAGGATCTGGACTGAACCTCAGCAGTTTTGTAAATTTCCCTGGGACTTGCCAGGCTGCTTTATTTGGGTTTATTTTTGTGTTTTGTTTTGTTTTGTTTTGTTTTATGTTAAGAAGTACTGTTGAATTTAGAATAGACAAGAAAGAGAGCTTTTTAAAAAAATAAGAAGTAGAAACACCCCCCATAGCTGTAGGAAAGATGAGGGAACAGTCGAAGATGACTTTTCACTTGGGGTCAGTGAAGGTAGTGTTGGCTTTTTCCAGGTAGACATAGGGAATTTTTGGAAGGGAGTAATAGAAAAGGAGCTGTACTTTCAATTGACTAATCCACCAGCCACGTTATAATGGACTGGAAGGCAGAGAGTGGAGCTGGGGAGGACAGGGAAGAGATTGCCAAGATTTTGCCTGTGCACAGACTGTTGCTGTGGCTTTGAGGGCAGAGACAAGTGGCACAGAGGGCATGGTAGATAAGGGAGCCTTTTTCCTACGACAGAAATTAAATCAAACAATCTTGCACAAGCCAACGTTCTTTGGGAGGAAATGGGAAGGCAAGAGATTTGGTTCAACTCCTGGGTTTACCACTTACATGCTGTGTAACCAAGGATGTGTCTCTGGATACCTCTAAGGCTCCATTACCTCATTTGCCACATAGAGATCCTACTACCTACCATGTCATGTTGTTCCGAGGATTGAATGTGATAGCATATTTTACAGTGCCTGCTGCATTATGATAGGAATTTGACATTTGATAACTGCCATTACCAACCTCAGGGACAGTATATGTCAAATGAAAGTTTAGATAACATTGCTTTTTATTTAAAATAGTCTTTAATTTCTAGATTTTAACTCAACTATTAGTTTTATATTTCCAGAAAAATTGAGCAGGTGGTACAGAGGGTTGCTATATACCCCTCTCCTGCATCCAGGTTCTATTAGTAACATCTTACATTGGTATGGTACATTTGTTACAATTAGTGGACTAATATCAACACATAAAAGATTCCCTGAATTCCTACCTAAAATCCTTCTTTTGTTCCAGGATCCCACCTCGTACCAATTATGTTTAGTTATAGTGACTCAGTTCCTCTTGGTCAGGACAGTTTCTCAGCTTTCTTTGTTTTTGATGACATAACTTTTTTGTAATCATAAAAGGCCTTTGGGGATTAAATTACACATCCTCTTCCCCAGCCTGCCCTGCCCCCACCTCTTGCCCCTGTGTCCTTTGTTAGAAACAAACCAAGGTATATTGTGAGTCACACAGCTGCTCTCACAGAACCCCATTTTGCCTGTTTGAGATCCTTGACATTTGAAAGCAAGGTCTTTCCCAATCAAAATAGTGAAAGGCAAAATGGTCAAGCTCATTAGACTGCCTGCTCTGTTTATATTTTCATTCACTCAAGAAATCCGTGCTGAGCAATGATTATGTATCAGTACTGTGGTCCATGTTGGAAGGCAGCAGTGAGCAAAGCAGGTCTGGGGTCCTGGCTTCTACAGCGCCCACATTTAATTCAGATGAAATGAGTATGCCCTGTAATAAGTGCTACAAAAGGAAACAATGGAATAGTAACTCACAAGGGAAGGGACCCCCCCCCCCTTTAAAAATGCAGTCTGGGGAGTTCATATATGAGCTCGGAAGCCTAGGAAAGGGATTAGGAGTGCTGCATAGGGAGAACATTCCAGGCATAGGAAGTAGCACATGCAAAGGCCCTGAGGCAAGGAGGACATAGGCAGCATTAGAAGCTGGAGCAAAGAAGAGTCCGAGATGAAGTTGGAGGGGCCACACTGTGGAGCAGCAGGTTAAGCCACCGCCTGCAATGCTGCCATCCCATGTGGGCACCAGTTTGTGTCCTGGCTGTTCCACTTCAATCCAGCTCCCTGCTAATGTGCCTGGGAAAGCAGCAGCAGATGGCTCAAGTCCTTGGGCCCCTACACCCACATGGGAGACCTGTAAGAAGTCTGGTCTCCTGGCTTTGGCCATTGTGGCCATTTGGGAAGTGAACCAGTAGATGTAAGATATATCTCTCTGTATATCTCTCATCTTCTCTCTGTAACTCCACCTTTCAAAGAAAGTAGATGAAGTTGGAGAGGTAAACATGAACCAAATCAGGCTGGGCCTTATGGACCAAGGTAAATAATTTGGATACTATTACTTTACTTTTCTTTTCTAATATTTAGTTATTTATTTTAAAGATAGAGTTACAGACAGAAGGAGAGACAGAGACAGAGAGAGAAAGCTTCCTTTTGCTGGTTTACTCTCCAAATGACTGCAATGGCCAGGGGCTGGGCCAGGCCAAAGCCAGGAGTCTGGAACTCCATCCAGGCCTCCCATGTGGGTGTAGGTGCTCAAGCATTTGGGCCATCTTCTGCTGCTCTCTTAGGCACATCAGCAGGGAAATGAACTGGAAGCAGAGCAGCTAGAACTCAGCACCCATACATGGATGCCAGCGTTGAAGACAGTGGCTTAACACGCTGAGCCAAAACTCTAGCCTAAGAATTTGGATGCTATTAAATGGGAAGTGGGAAGTCAGAGATTTTTTTTAAATATTTATTTTATTTATTTGAAATACAGAGTTACAGAGAGAGGTAGAGACAGAGAAAAAGGTCTTCCATCCGCTGGTTCACTCCCCAGATGGCTGCAAAGGCCGGAGCTGCGCCGATCCAAAGCCAGGAGCCAGGAGCTTCCTCTGGGTCTCCCATGCATGTGCAGGGGCCCAAAGACTTGTGCCATCTTCTACTGCTATCCCAGGCCACAGCAGAGAGCTGGATTGGAAGAGGAGCAGCCAGGACTAGAACCGGCGCCATATGGGATGCTGGCGCTTCAGGCCAGGGCTTTAACCCGCTGCGCCACAGCGCCGGCCCCCAGAGACTTTATTAACTGAGGAAGTGATGCCATCAGATTTGGAAGAACACTGTGACTCTGTGTGGGCAGTTTGGAGATGGTGACAGTGGAAAGGAGACTGGAACAGTGACCCTGCTGGAGCAGGATCTGTGAGTCTGCAGCCCAGAGTCTGGGTTAGAGAAGTGCACTTTTAATTTACTAGCTGGCTTTCAGATCTGAAAGACAGATGGAGTGAGGTCCAGAGAGGAATGTAACAAATTACCACAGAATTGGTGGCACTCATTAACTCCCACAATTTGAAAACTGAAGTCAGTTTCAAGGCATTGGCAGGGCCAAACTTCCTCTGGAAGCTCTAGAGGAGAATACATCCTCTTGCCCTTTCCAGTTTCTAGAGCTGCATTTCGTGTGGTCCCTTCTTGGATCCCAAAAGCCAGAAGCATGGCATCTTGCTTCAGCTGTTCCATTGCCTTCTTCTTCTTCTGTAGTCAAATCTCCCTCTGCAGCTCTTCTACAGAATCACTGTGGATTCCTTTTAGGGCCAAACTTCTCATCTCCAGATCCTTAATTATAACTGCAAAGTCCCTTTTGTCATACAACATTCACAAGTTCAAGCCTAGGGTATCAAATGTTTGAGAACATTATACAGTCTGCCACAAAAGGTAAAAGAGGGAAAGGGGCCCAGTTTCAAGTTCTGAGGCATACTAACATTTTCTAGACGTAGGGGAGCAGCTAGCAAAAGAGACTGTAAAGGAATAGCAATTGAGGAAGAGGGAAGGTTGCCAGGGAGCCATGATGCAGAGCCGGGGGAGTCAGGATAGAAGGAGCTGTCCATGGATACTGAGGTTGAGTAAGGTAAAGATGGAGGTGGTGAGAAACACTGGAAATGTCATCCTGGTTGGTGATCTTGACAACAGCAAATCAGGTTGCAGGGGTTGGACACATTGAATTGGAAGCCATTGGAGTACTGAGAAATGCATGGTCTGAGGTGGTACAGGCAGCAAGTGGACAGCTCTTTACTTTCTGCAATCAAGGGAAGAGAGACACTGGGTTGCAGGAGGTGGTACGGTAAGAAAGATAGCCCAGGGGCTGCCACTGTGGCATAGTAGGTTAAGCCTCCGCCAGTGGCACCAGCATCCTATACGAGCACCAGTTCATGTCCTGGCTGCTCCACTTCCAATCCAGCTCCTTACTAGTGGCTTGGGAAAGCAGTAGAAGGTAGCTCAAATACTTGGGCCTCTGTAGCCACATGAGAGACCCAAAAGAAGCTCTTGGCTCTTGGCTTCTGTCTGGCCAGCCCCGCCCCTTGCAGCCATTTGGGGAGTGAACCAACAGATGGAAGATCTCTGTCTGTCACTTTCTCTGTCTGTAATTCTGCTTCTTAGATAAATAAATAAATCTTTAAGAAAGAAAAGGAAAGAAAGCCCATCATTTTCTGTTTTTAATGGCGGACATCACTGATGGTTTCATGAAATGATGCAGGAGAGGGAATAAAGTATTTGAAAAAGCAGGAAGGGTGAGGTCCAAAGCCAAATGGAGAACCTGGCTCTGCTGGCAGAAGCAGAGGAGAAGGTATGTGTAAATTAGGCTAGGGTTGAATTCCCTATGAGATATGCTGAAAACGAAGGACTGTGCCATGTTCAAGGAAATAACATTTGAGGAGTCACATCATTTGTGGAGATAGAGTATTTTACTTCATCTCACCTAGAAAGTGTAAGTGGCATAGTCATAGTGGCTAAATATTTGCATCTAAAAGATAACCTCCTATAACTCCTCCACAAGGTTATTGAGAAGTAATTTTGAATGAAAAAAATAAAGTAGCCCTCTGATAATATGTGAAACTTTATTAAAAAGAGAAATGGTGCAAACTACTTTGTGCTTTTGTTTTCATTTTTAAAAAAACTGAAAGAGAAAAAAACTTATAACCAAACATGTTGTCTTATTAAAGATGAGTAATAAATAAGGCATTTACCATAATTATTATTATGTAATTACACAGCCTACACATGTATGAAAACTGTAGAGGGTGGACTACAAAATCACATTTTCAGTGGTTAACGGGCTGAGATTTGAAATCTTTTGAATATCCTGTTTGATATGACATTCAAGAAAACTATGAACAAAACTGTTAGTATCTGCATCCTGTTCTACGTAAGAGAAGAGCTTCTATTAAATTACCTGGTTCCCCTCACCAAGATAAAGACAAGAAAGTATGAAAGGTCCCTCCACCAGGGTACTTATGGGTCCTACTCATTCACCTGGACATTCAAATGACCACCGCTAAGGCAGGTACACTAATATCACTCATCTGCCATCAGCTTCCCAGGGCATCTTGACCTGAGCGAATGGCAATTTCTTCTGGCTAGTAATAAACAATGTTGCTTTCATCCATCTTACATCTAAAGTCTAGGCTTGCCTACAGAGAGTGCGGAATGCCTTGTAAAGGATTGAATTCTATTCTTCAGTATTTTATTTTTGCATTTCTTCCTTGGGAATTATAATGCTTATCTTCAAAGCTGATTTAATGGTTCAAGAAGAACCAGTGAGACTCCCTTATTCTAGCCTTTGCTTTTCCTTGTTTTCTCTTCACCCAGTGGGCTATCTTTAAGAGGCGTGGAATCTAGGGTTTTGAGAGATCCCCTCTCCTCCCACTCGGTCAGCTGCACTGATGAATTCCTCCTGGGGCTTCTCACTGATTAGGTTAGTGCAGTGTCAAAGAATGGAGACTTGGAAAGGGTCCCCCTGTGAACAGAAATCAGACTGAAGATGCAAGCTCAGACTCGCATCCTGCAGAGTTTCCCTCCCTTAGTGAGAGTTCTCACTCACCTGCCTGAGGGGCCGTCTGACTCTTGCTCACAGATTCCAGCCCTCCCACAGTCTGAAAAGGAAATAGAGGTTCTCTGGTTGACTTTGAAAAACACAAACCTTGCCATGGAAACATATTGTGAAAACATATAACATGAAGAGAGTTGTAAACATTCAAGTATTTCTGCAGGTTTTCATAAAAACAACAGCAATTTGATTTTTTTAAGCTTATGATACCTTTTGTGACTAACAGGACACAGGTTATTTATATCAAAGGAGGAAAGGCCAGGAGAGCTAGTTGTAAAGCCTCCAAAAACTTCATTTGGTTCAATTCTGTCAGTAGATTCTGTCTTAAGAAACATACATGAAGTCCTCAGAAAGTTATGTGTTCCTGAATCAACTAAGGGAAGCACCTCACTTGACAGAGTTGAACAATCAGTGCCATTCTAGTGAGACGTTGAAGCACTAAAACTCTTTCTAGAAGTTTTCCATTTAGAGATTTTGATGGTTAATTAAGGAAGCACTGTTCCTAAGAATTATAAAAGATGGAATATAAAGATATCTTTCAGAAGGTCTCCTACTTGAACAAATTTGTTCAGAAAAAGACTAAGCATTGGCTTTTCCCAGTCAGTTCCACACATTCTTCTGTTGTGGTATTTTACACATGAGGATTATTCACAGCCCATCTAAAAATAAATAAATAAATAAAAGCAAATTGCTTTGAGTGATGTTCCAGAGGATCCGAAGCCCAATCCAAGATTCGGTGTCAACCTTCCTTGGTGAACGAGGCCGTGGTTGTTTCCCTTGCTGGCTTCCATCCAGCTGTCGGACCTCCCTGCTCCCTGCCTAGGAAGGCCAGGTGGTTCACAGAGCATCCGTGGGGAGCGCACAGGACTGGACTTCCTGGTATGTCATCTGCCTCCTCACGGAGCGGAGTCGGAGAGAAAGAATCACAGTGGCCGTCAGGAGGAGGAGTCCTATGATGAAAAGGATAACCAAGGCTGCCTTGGCTCCTCTTGGACCCAGATTCCTGCCGAAGAAATACAGCATCCCTTTGCCAGGTGGTTCTGTGGAAAAGTAGAGTGAGATGTCAGGTACCTGCCTTTCACTGAGGAGTCAAACATGATGCGTTCGCACGCAGGGTGCAAGAGAGGGCATCATTACCGTTGGGGGACACTGTCGCCGGATGTGGTGCTCCTCCAGACGGAGACTTGGTGGAGTAAGGAATCCTGTTATCTGAACAAAGAACACAGATTGGTTGTTCTGTGAACTACAGAGGGATTTTCTTTTCATGATATGAGTCTTTTCATTTCACCAGTGAGAACTTTAACACACTAGTATCTACCAGTCTTTCTTGGAGTCTCACTTAGCTTCACACTAGTGCACCTGCTTTCTTACCCCATCCACCTTTGCAGCTTCTGCTAATCCATTCAGATCCATCGTGAGTATCACAGCCTCTGTTACTTTGGCTCACATCCCTGAACTCTTGGTTATTCCCTCCTATTACTGCCACTGCCTCCTTCACCCTGCACTCTGTTACAGCACATTATCATACTCTGTCATGGTTACATGTTCACACATGGTTACATGTTTCTCTTACTTGACCATGAGTTCCTTGGGGTCTGTATCTGGGTTTTCCTTATGCCTCCTGTTTTCAGGGTCTACAGGAAGCTTGGTGCCATCATCTGGCATCACTGACAGGCAACAGTACCTATGTTTCGGAGAACCGTGTAGGTTGTCTCCATGCCAGCATGGATGTGATCAGACACATGACAATGCAGCAGCCATGTTCCCGGGTGATCTGCAAACAGTTCGATGGTTTGGAAGGTCCCAGGAAAGAGATCATACACGTCTTCTCGGTAAGAGTTTTCTATCTGCAAAAATTACACAATGTAGCTCATGGCTTTCTTTGCTCAAAATAGCAAGAAGGAAACAAAGAGGAAAAACACAAACGCACAGTAAACAAAAGGAAGAAAATAATACAGAGCTAATAAAATCAGGATGAGACACACAACATAGAGAAATCAAAGAAGCTTTGTAGTAGCCAGCTTCCATGATACCCCAAAGTGATCCCTATCTCCTGGTTTTCAAAGCCTTTGTAGTCCCCTCCTACACTGGATGAAAGTTTATATGGCCCAAGTGATGGCATTAATCTTCCAAGATCAGGCAGACCATAACTTCTGTCTTAAACATCCTCTCTCATACCCTTCTCCTGGATCACTTACTCTTGGGGAATCAAGTACCTGTGCCATACTTACCTGCTGAGGAACTAACTGAAGCTTCCAGTTAGCACTCATTTTAGTGAGCTTGGAGGTGACTCCTTCAGCTCCAAACCTTTGATAACTGCAGCCCCAGCTAACAAATTGATAACAGCTTTATGACAGATGCTGAATCAGAATTAAGTAGCTAAATTACTCTCAGATTCCTGACGCAGAGAAACTGTGAGATATAAATAGTTGTTGGTTTAGTCCACTGTTTTAATAGGTCGTGCACCAATAGAAAACTAAAAAATCTCTAGATAGATTGTCAGAAAAGAAAAGAAAGGAAGACACAAATTAAAATACCAGGAATAAAAGAGAAGACATCACGGAGACCTTACAGACATTAAAAAGGATAATAAAGAAATACTGGACAAATATTGGACAAATCATTCATAGAACTTAACAATTGTTGAGGATTCCAAGATGGCAGCATAGGGAAAGAGTGTACAGTTCTAGGCTAGGGGAAGATAGTTAAAAAAAAAAGTGGATGAAGTACATTCTCAGGGAGAATTAGAGAAAAAACTACAGTGGAAATTCTATGGAAGGAAGAAGAATGCCTTGGATATGTGAGGAAGGTACAGACATGCAGCAATGAGGATGGACACAACACATGACCCCAGAAGCAAGAGCCAGAGAAAGCACCAGCTTTGGAAAGAGAGGCGAGATGATTAGACTGCAGCAGCCCATGCCACTGGTGATATAGCTGGAGGGAGAGCCTGGCAGACTACACTGTGTCTGAAACCAGCCTGGAGCCTTAAGGGGCCAGAGTACCCACAAACACAGCAGAAATTAAAAAGGCAGGTTTCCCTCTCAACATCCCCCCAACAATGGTAACTGGCAACTGGATGAGAGAGGGCAGGCATCATTTTGAACATCAGTAGCCACTGTGGCAGCTCTTATGTGCACATCCAACAACCGGCAAGGAAAAGGCACCACCTTGACACCAGTAATGGCAATGGCAGCTCAAGTGCATGTACCTGGCAACGGGTGGGGAGAAGGAGCCATTGTGATATGAGTAGGGGCTAAGGTCAGTGGCTCATGCACATGCGTGTGATTCAGAGATTTTACCAGAGGAAAAAATCCATGTTCCCCAATGACTTTGAGACTTGGAGAATTGACATGGGGTTGGGTACCCACATACAACTATAAAGTGCCCCCAGGCTCTCAACATATCACAGGCTCCAGGGCTCAAACCACCTAGGCAGAACACCCGCAGGCAGCTGTCTCTGAGAATGCCTCTGCCTGTCTGTGGACAGAACATGATTGTAGCACTGAGCAGAGCCTCTGCACCCTGTGACTGTTGGAGCCTTACATGCTGAGACTGTATGAACTCTGACTCCATGAGATGGCTAAGGGTACAGCTGGTTCTCTGGGAAATCACTATGTGCAGCTCCACATGCTCAAAGCTCCCTGATTGCCTGGGGTGGGTCAATGAAGTGGGATCCTTTGTGCAGAAATTCTTTGTGCAGCTCATGCGGCAGCATGGGTAAGTATTGCACCCACTATGGGCTCACACTTGGGCATTGATCAACTTGGAACAGAGGAGATGAGGGAGTGATTATGCCAACAGAGGTGATCATACCCACCTTTCTGCTAACAAGAGGAGTTCTACCTCATCCAACTTGGGAGTCACCCTGGATATTCACCCTGTGCTGAAGCACTCACCAGAACTCACTGGCCACACCCAGCACACACCTCTGGGTATTCAATGAAAAAGCAAACACTCCACTAAGCCACAGAGGCGCAGTTCAAAGATAAAAGCCATCAGAGGAAAAAAACCAACAAGTATTTCCACAAATGCCTAAAAATAAACATAGAAATCCAAGAAACAAGAATAAGGAAGACAACATCATGTCCCCAAAGAAACACAACACTTTAATATTATAATGTGAGGATGAAGAAATTGATGAAATGCCTGCAACAGAATTCAAAAAAGTAATCATATGATTACTCAGAAGCAAATTCATGAGTAAAAGAAATCCATACATGACATGGATGAAAAATTTTCCCATGAAATTGAGATTTTGAAGAGAAATCAAAATAAATAGTAGAAATGAAGAATTCAATATGTCAAATAAAAATACTGTGCAAAGCCTTAACAGACTTAATAAGGCAGAAGAAAGAATATCCAAGATAGAATACAAATCTTTAGAAGTTTTTCAGTCAGACCAAAAAAAGAAGAAATTAGAAAAATTAAAAACAGTGTTGGAGATTTATGGGATACTATCAAACAACCCAATATACTGATCTTAAGAGTTCTTAAAGGTGTGGAAAGAATGAATGGATTAAAATGCCTATTCAGTGAGATAATTACAGAAAACTTCCCTAATTTAGACAAAGGAAGGGACATCCAAGTACATGAGGTAGATAGAACTTCTTATACATAAGAACAGAAAAAATCTTCACCAAAATATATTGTAGTTAAACTTTCAAAACTGAAGCATAAAGAAAAGATTCTAAACCATGCATGAGAAAACTGCCATCTTAATTTCAGAGGATCTCCAATTAGGCTCACAACTGACTTCTCATCAGAAACCCCACAGGCTAGGAGAGAATAGGGAGACATAGTCCAAGCCATAAGAGAAAAAATCTGTCAACCCAGAATATTATACCCTGAAAAGCTCTCATTGATGAATGAAGGTGAAATAAAGACCATCTATAACAAACAGAAATTGAAAGAATTTGTCACCACTCATCCAGCCTTACAAAAGATGTTTAAGGATGTGTTACACACAGAAACACAGAAAGATAGTCATCATTATGAAAGAATGTGAAGGCAGAAACATCTCCTAGTCAAAGTACAAAGGAAATCCAAAGCAGACAATAGGAATATTAATGGAAAAATGAAAGGGCAAAGTCATTACTTACCAATAGTAACTGTGAATGTAAATGACCTAAATTATCCAAATAAAAGATACAGGATGGCTGGATGGATTAGGAAAACAAGACCCATCTATAACAAAGATACAAGCAGACTGAAAGTGAAATGATGGAAAAAGATATTCCATGCTAACAGAAAGCAGAAATGAGCAGGTAGGTCTAGCCATCCTAAAATCAAGCAAATAGAATTTATCAAAAAAAAAAACTGTTGAAAGAGACAAAGAAGGGCATTATGTAATGATTAAGGGATCAATTCAACAGGAAGATATAACTATAATAAGTATATATGCACCCAATGCCAGGGCACATGGCTATTTAAAAGAAATGTTAATGTATCTAAAGGGGGACATAGACTCCAATACAATAGCAATGGGGGACTTCAACACCCCACTTTCAGTAATGGATAGATCAACTAGATAGAACATATACAAAGAAACAACAGAGATAATCGACACTATGGAGGACCAAATGGACCTAACTGATATCTCATTTCATAGGTGTGGAAAACACATTTTTTTATCTTTGCATGGAAGTCCATGGAATGAAGATGACATTGCAACTTATCAAAACATAGGGGATATGGCAAAAGCAATGTTAAGAGGGAAGTTTATCTCAATTGATGCCTACATCAAGAAATTAGAAAGACACCAAATATGTGAGCTATCAATGCATCTCAAGGACCTAGGAAAACAACAATAAACCAAACACAAAATTAATAAGAGGAAAGAAATAATTAAAATTAGAGAAAAAATAAATAAAATTTAAAAAATGTAAAAGATCAGTGAAATTAAAAGCTATTAAAAAAAAAAAGCAGTAAAGTTGATATAGCATTGGCCCAAACAAACAAAAAAAGACGGAGAAGACCCAAATCAATAAAATCAGAGATAAAAAAGGAAATATAACAACAAATACCACATAAATAAAAAGAATCATCAGTAATTACTATAAAAAGATATATGCTAACAAACTGGAAAATCAAGAAAACATGGATAGATTCCTGAACACATAAAATCTACCAATATTGAATCATGAAGACGTAGAAAACCTAAATAGACCAATAACCAAGGCAGAGATTATATCAGTAATAATGACCCTCCCAACAAAGAAAAGCTCAGGACCAGATGGCTTCACTGCTGAATTCTACCAGACATTCAAAGAACTAATTCCAATTTTCCTCAAGTTATTCAAAACAATTGAAATGGAGGTAATCCTCCCAAACACATTCTATGAAGCCAGCATCCCTTCAATTCCTAAACCAGAAAAAGATACAACAGAGAAAGAGAACTACAGACCAATATCCCTAATGAACACAGCTTCAAAAATCCTCAATAAAAACACTAGCTAATCAAATCCAACAACACATCAGAAATTTCATTCACCCACACCAAGTGGGATTTATCCTTGGGATGCAGGGATGGCTCAACATTTGCAAATCAATAATTGTGATACATCACATGAAAAAACTGAAGAACAGAAGTTATATGATTATCTCAATAGATGTAGATAAAGCATTTGATAAATGCTTCATCCTTTCCTGATGAAGACCTTAAACAAATTGGGTATAGAAGGAACATTCCTCAACACAATCAAGGCAATTTATGACAAGCTAACAGCCAGCATCCTATTTAATAGGAAAAAGTTGGAAGCATTCCCACTAAGATCCAGAACCAGAAAAGGCCACCCACTCTCACCATTGTTATTAAATATAGCCCTGGAAGTTTTAGCCAGAGCCA